TGTGACAGCAGTGGCACTTTGGGAAAGCGGTGGCAGTGGCTTTTCCCAATGTCCTGCCACATTCGAGGCATCGGTTCTGGAGCATTACTACAGTCAATGGGTGAAACTGCAGGGCCGGCACCTTGAATGCTCCCCTGCCGCCTCTTAGCGTCCCCAAGGGGGCCAGCAGAGGGGGTCTAAGAGGCGGCAGGGGGGTGTTCAAGGCGCCGGCTGGCCCTGCAGTTTCACTCATTGACTAGTACTGCTCTGGAGCTGGCGCCTCCAATGTGGAAGCGGTGGCACGTTACATGCCGCCACGGCCGTGTTCGACGCACCGCCCCCCTGCCGCCTCTTAGCGCCCTTCTGCTGGCCCCCTTGGGGATGCTAAGAGGTGGTAGGGGGGTGTTCGAGACGCCGGCCCTGCAGGTTCACCCATTGACTAGCACCGCTCCGGAGCCAGCACCTCCAATGCGGAAGCGGTGGCACATTACACGCCACCAAGGCCGCATTCGATGCGCCGCCCCCCTGCCGCCTCTTAGCGCCTCTCTGCCAGCCCCCTTGGGGACACTAAGAGGTGGCAGGGGGACAGCGCATCGAACGCAGTCATGGCGGCACGTAACATGCCACCGCTTCCGCATTGGAGGCACCGGCTCTGGCGCGGTGCTACAGTCAATGAGTGAACCTGCAGGGCCAGAGCCTTGAACGCCCCCTGCCACATCTTAGCACCCCCCTGCCAGCCCCCTTGCCTCTTAGCACCCCCCTAAGACATCCCTCCGCCCCCCCCGGGGGTGGTACCGCCCACTTTGGGAACCACTGCTCTACCTATCCCATCCCATCTTATCCTATCCTATTCCATCCTAACATCTGTGCCTAAAATATGCTGTGCTGAAATATCATTGGTTCTGCCCTGAGTGGAAAATATAACCCAAGGTTTCTGCATGCCTAAATTTGTAAATGTCATGATTAGAATATGGAAAAAGATAATACTGTTCTTATTTTAGAGGACAGGGCAAAACTTCAAAAGATTAGTAACAGTTGTGGAATGGAAGAAAAGTTTGCTTGTGGAAATCCAATCTTTCCCAAACAAGCCTGCATAGCTTTCCTGAGAGTGATTTCTCTTTTCTTCCCATTCACAGAGAGGAAGGACAGCAAGCAATTGCATCTGAAGACCTGGACTCTTTTTACTTAACTTACTTTATCACTTAATTCCAAAATGATTACTTATTCTGGCATTCGTTGGATAACAATTTAACGGAAAGTGCTGAGATGAACATGTTAACAATGAAACTGAAAGAAAAAGATGACTCTGAATTCTTTTTAATTTGGAACAATTGGTATAAATGGTTAACAAACAGAACTAAGAAGTGAGATAAAAAGCCTAACTGAAATAATCCTTAAGAAAGTAAAACAAAATTTTGCAAATTATATAAAAATATAAGAATAGCAATCATAGTTAAAGCTATTATTTAATATTAGACAAATGTAATATAATGTATTATGATATTTAAACCAAAAACCTGTATAGATGCCAAGAACGCTGTTGATACCATGATGTTTTACAGTGTAATAAAAGAAACTCAATAAAAATATATTTAAAAAAAAACAATTTGTGTATTTTTTCCTTTTGCTTTCAAAATATATTTGCTTTGAACTTGATTATTTGAAATTATTTTTGTACATATGTTTCTGAACCAGTTCTTTGGAAAATAGATGCCAGGAATAGCTTCATATTTTCTGATTTTTGTGTAAATATAGAATTTTTCATGTATGTTCCTTTACATATTTTCTCATTTATTTTGTATGTCACTGGTTTTTTTTTAAAATAGAGATTTTTGTTTAATGCCAGCTAACATAATGAAATGTTGCAGAACTTTTATTTGCATGTTGATGTATAGTAGTACTACATACAAGGAATTCAAATCCTGGAGCTAGCAAGCTGATACAAAACGTTCTAGACTCTTTGGTGTATAGCAAGCCCACATAGCAGAGAAGTAAAGCAAAATACATCTTGTAACAGAGATTTTAAATACAGTTGACATACGATGCAAATTCTGAATAGTTTTACTGATGGAATTCTAAAACACATCAATGAAAAATATTTGTTCTGTGTTTGTGTTCCACTTTTACAAATAAAAATGTGATATACCCAGAATGACATTGACAATAACTTGTCTCTCGATCTAGGTCAGGAAATGGAAATAATTTTTACAAAATTCACAACTTCCTGCCTTTATCACTTCAACCCGTTTATACAAACTGATGTGATTTAAAAGAACAATGATTGTTTTATTCCATTAACTTAACCGCAGTACAGTTACTTAGTAGGACATGCAAGATAGTAGGGTAGGTAGGATAATTTATTTCTAATTCTAGATGAACATTCTAATAACAGTATTGAAGTATTTTGTTAAATTAACCTAAATCAAATAGGCTTACTCTTATAAATGTTTAATTGTTTTCTCCATGGATTATCAATGTTTTTAACTATTTGTATGCTCAATGTTCAAAGTCTCTCTAAATTTTTAAGATCTTTTGCAATATGTGGATACCCATGGAAACAGTAAAAATATTAAATCAATAATAACCTGCAGCAATTATTCCCCTTTCTCCCTATATTGCCCATTATGATTTAAAGAAAGTTAATATTAAGTATAATTTGTATGTAATATTCTTCAGTAAATGCAGAAAATCTTTCCATATAAGTGTGTGCATGTATGTTTACTGTACTTTTCCAGGGAAAATTATAATATATTCTTGTAGCATTGTAGTAGGACAATACTCAAAACTAATTAATGTAAAATGGGCATTAAAACTGATTGATGGTCTTAAAACTCCAATGGAAATACCACTCTTTTGAGTGTTACTTAATGTTTCAATCAACTGTTACTTTAATGAATAGCTTGCTCGTCTCCTTATTTTTAAGAAAAGCATTTTTTCTTTTTAAAACATCATAACATCATTATTAATTTTCAGTTGTTTTCACTGAACCATCCTTTCTATTTCTGACCATGTCCAGCAGATTAGGAAAATGAGTTTAGTGTGAAAATTGTACAAAGTCATGTCGTAAATATTTGCATTTTCATGATCAATGACTGTATGTTGGAACAATAACAATTAAAGACACTTCCAGTAAAATGAAATTTTATAAAGCATGACATTTTTGAAAAGAAAGTGAGAGTGTGCAACTGCTTCTATTACATGCAATAGGAACTGATACTTTGGGTAACAAACTCAGTACTATTAATAGCAGCAACATATAGAGTTACATAAAATAAAATACAACATAGTAAGAGCAATATATGAAGCTAAAATGATTTAAAAAAAATAAAAACACATTCAAAGCAAGCAGATGAACCTGGATAGACTAGATTTACAGCATCAATTTATAGCAAAGAGATTTCTAAGCCTAATATCATTGCCTGTAGGTTTGCAGAGACAGGACTGTTAGATTTTGGGTATTGTGGGTTTTGTTTTTTATTTTTTGGAGGGCATAGACTTCTACAGTAAGGAAAAGTCAGTAAGTCGATGTCCAAAGCAAATGAGAAGCCATAAAGGAGTTTGTCTGGCTTAGTGCACTAGGTCAACCTATCAATTATAACTTATTCAACAAACCAATATTTAATAAGCTAGGACATAGCTCAATATTGTAAACATAATAACCAGGAAAGTACTCTATCAAGTTCATCCAGGAATTTTTGGAATTATATACAAATGATATTTTATTAAATAAACAAAAATCAGCACTTTGAATTATGTAAGGAAATGTTCAAGTAATCCTCATTTAGCAAATACTTCATTTATTGACCATTCACAACTATTTACTTATTTTGCTAAGTTTTTATCCCACCTTTGTAGATAACTCAAGGCAGTGAACATATTTAATACTCCTTCCTCCTCCTATTTTCCCCAACAACCTTGTAAGGTAGGTGAGGCTGAGAGTGTGTGATTGGTCCAAAATCACCACCCACCTTCCATGCCCAAGGTGAGACTAGAACTCACAGGCTGCTGGTGTCTGGCCAGCACCTTAACCACTTCATCCAAATTGTGATGCTGATTAAAAAAAAATACAAACACTATTTATATTTTATTAACCTTGCAGGTCTGTAAAACAAAGCAAAGTGAAGTAAAATTGTAATCACAATGCAGTTTCATGTAATGAACAGTTCACTTAACAATTGAGTTGTTGTCCTAAGTTGTGATCACTAAATGAAAACTACCTATCCTTTAGCTAAAACATGAAGTAGGTTTCTTTCCTCATTTCAAAACAGTCCTATAAGTTGTACTATGCAAAATATTGACAGTCAACCTCAGAATATATCTGGAAATTTCTCTACTTAAAGTGGGGAATATATCTGATGACTGAGAACTTCTCTAGTCAGTTGTCTCCTTCCTACCATAGTAGCAGCATGATTGACTATTGTGTATTTAGAACAGAACCATTCACATCCATGTTACTAATAGGCACATATACTACATGGTATTTTATTCAAATATTATATGGTTATATGTATAAAGAAGTATTCTACAAATACTTTCAAAAAATAATGTGAGAAATACCTGGAGGACATTTGTTTATAAACAATGCACATAGGCAGAAACTTCACAATTAATTTTCAAATAAAATCAAGTGCAGAAGTTCTATAGTACACATATTATCAGACTATGTGTTAGGTTAAATGCATTTTTTTCCTTGCTCAAGGATAACGTGAGAATTAATCCAGGAACAGTACATGTGAACAGAGGAACTTTAGCTCCTTTTCTGAACTTAGTTTGGGTTGTATTTCAAAGGATTCTTTTTTGCCAATTGATGGGCTCCCAATATGGGTTGAGAATATCCATTGTGGCAGTGGTGGGATACAATTTTTTTTAGTACCGATTCTGTGGGTGTGGCTTGGTGGGTGTGGCATGGCTTAGTGGCTGTGGCTTGGTGGGTGTGGCAGGGGAAGAATACTGCAAAATCTCCATTCCCACCCCACTCCAGGGCAAGGATACTGTATCTCCATTCCCTCCCCACTCCTGGAGGAAGGTTACCACTGGTTCTCTGAAGTACTCAAAATGTCCGCTACTGGTTCTCCAGAACTGGTCAGAACCTGCTGAATACCACCTCTGCACTGTGGCAAAGAATTAAAAGCTTTAACACTTGTGACAGAGCTGCCATAAAAGAAATATAAAATAAGTTTTCTATTAAAAAAATTTCAGTTCTAAACAGTAGTCAATCTATATTTGATGTTGTACTGGACGGAGAGAAGAAGGCAGAGAAGAAGAGACTTTCTTTTAGCTACCAAGCATGAATCTGATTCAGTGGTCCAGAATTGATAATCTAGCCATTCTTCCACATCTCTAGGAATAGGGATGATCACAATTGGCCCCTGAATATTACTGAAAACTCTAACATTTTGGGTCACTATTGAAATCTTTCTTTTAGCTGGATGATTTGTTAGCTAACAGCCATTCCATTTCACTGTACTGTGGAGGGCTCAACTATGTCAACAGAGAAATGTAAGCATCTTTTGCAGGCAAGCAGAGAAGCAGGACTTGGGCCACATATTCATTTAAACTGTTGCTGCCTTCATAATGTGCATGGTTGATTGTTTTTTCAATTCCATAGAGTAAACTGGTGCTGCTTGAATCCCTTAGAATCCTAGAAGAGAACAGACATAGTTTATATATTTCAATTTTGTTTTGTTTCTTTCCTCTTGTTTAAGGTAAGTGAAGCTTCCTCAGTTTTCTAAATCTTTTTCATCTATTTTTGTAAGATTTTGTCCCTTGATCTCTCACTTAAATTCCTTGTGGCAAATGATTTTTTTCTCAGTGTCTTTACTTTTAATAATATTTCTATATTCCCCAATCAGCAGTGTAAATAAATGCATCAATAAAACAAGAGCAAAAAAAATATGTTTCCCCAGAGCATCATTAAAATACTAAAATATTAATCATGTTGATTATTTGTAATTGCAATGAACCAAAAGCTAGTTGAAAATGTTGTTTTCAGCGTCTTCCAGAATGCTGGAAAAGAAAGGGCCAAGTATTCCTCTAGGGAGCAGCATGTTCCATGATATGTAACCATCACGAAGGCATAAGAGACAAAGAACAATAATACAATTATCCATGGTAAAAATTAAGACAAACATTGCAGACTATTATGGTGCAATCACCCAAACATTTTTTCAACTCTCACAAATTCTCTGAAATAGTACATGCTATATTCAATACCTCCATAAAGTGAAGTTTGAATTCCTGTAAGCAATGCCAGGGAAAAAACACAGCCATTGAAAAATAGCACTTATGATCCTCAGTCCACCTACTTCACAAAAATGGGAAATCACTAGAAGTTCCTCCCAAGACATTCAAAATCAGATTGGTGGGCCAATTCTGGTGGGAGAAAGCAGTCCTGAAAATACTTCAGGGGCAAGCACATAGGGCTTTATAAGTTAAAATCAATACTTTGAATTGCACCCAAAAGTAAAGTACACATAAAGTAAAAAGCAACAGTTGATTTCCTTGGCACCAAGCAACAGCCAATAAATAGGCAATTACATTTTGGGTCTACTAATTTCTGAATAGTCTTCTAAGGTAATACCACATCACCACAACATAACTAAGGTAGCAAATGTTTCAACTATCTTAGCCCATGGTTGGAGCAACTGGTTAAAAATAATAGATCTGCCCCAATGTGTGGGTCTTCCTACTCCTATAACTATCTATCCAGTGCTTTCTGAAATAAATTTCTTTGCCCATCATTATCTCAATATTGCCCTCCCTCATCAATGATCCTAGCATTTTGTACTATTTATTTTTCCTGGCTCTGACCATAATATCCTGGATACTTTTGTAGGATCACTAAGTCCAATTTATAGTCAACCATCTAGCCCCCTCAATCATAATCATTATCCAAACATCCATCTATCAATCCTCAACACAATCACACATGCCATTACCCAGAATACTTTCTACCCCATTTATACAACTTCCTAATAGCCTTGCTCTCAAATTTGTACACAACCTCTGATCTTCCTCATGCATCTCTGCTGCTAGTGTTTTATAATATGACAGGTATCTTCCTCTCATTTCCCTACTCAATAATATGGAATGCCATTCATTACTCATTACTCCTTGTGTCTCTCCAGGGAGCAAATTTTCAGTCTACCAGTCAAACTGTCTCATTAGGTAGACCAGACCAAGAATCAACTCCAAGAAAAATTAAAACTACTTTTATTGAGATCGGCTATAATAGGATAATCTTATAACTCTGACTGTAGTATACCATCCCCCTCTTTTTATAGTCCAGTGACTATAGTCATTTTCATCTCTCTTTGCTGCCTCTACCTAGATTTGAGTACAGCTTGACTGCGTTTTACATATACTTTCAACTCAGCTCCATGTTTGCTCAGACGATGTTCTTCTTACCTACTATTTTCAGATCCTGTCTCTCATCTCTTGCCTTTAGTCTAACCCATGGGTATCAAACTCAAGACCCCCAGGCCGGATCGGGGCCATGGGGTGCTTAGATCTGGAAACAGCAAAGGACTGGCCAACGGTGCCTCTGCCAGCAAAAATGAAGCTTGGGGAGGAGACCGTCACAGCCAAAAACAAAGCCCGGGTGGGCCACTCACAGCTTCCCCACGCTGCTAGCAGAGGGCTTCTGGAGGCTGTCACAGCTGAAAACACTTCCCCCACAGTTCTGGTTTTGCTGACAGATGGCTGCAGGAAGCCATTGTGGCTGAAAATGGAGTCTCGATAAGTGACGCTGAGCTTGCCATGTCTCTGGCCATGCCCCCAGCCACACCCAGTCACACCCATCCCAGAGCCCCCCAAGGTCAAACACAACCCTGATGTGGCCCTCAATGAAATTGAGTTTGACACTCCTGGTCTAACTCTTTATTTGCAGCATTCTAACTGCATGCCCTTGACTCCTAAAACAGTCCACTCCATTGCTCATTCTTTTATCTTCAATCTTAACTATCCTACAAAATTCTCCCTTCAAATTATCCTCTCCCTCAATAACCTCCTGTATATTACTATTAGCAATTAACCATACCAATGTATTGGCAAATCAGTTGTTTTTCTTTAAGTTGATGGCAGAAAAATGCTTCTGTGTACTTCTGTTTTGTTTTGTTTTGGCCCGTGGTCTAGCCTCTACATACCTTTTATCAGTCAGTATTTTGTGAGCAGGGTACTGAGAGGGCAAAATGCAATGTCAAATGTTCTCAAGTTAGAATTCTACGCAAAACTATGCTTTCATAGAATTGTGATATTATGATCAAAGAGGTGTGTCCTTTGTGCCACCTCTGTCAGGTCCAGAAGAGATCATGTAGATATCCAAGAAAAGTATTCTTAAATGCTTATTTTTTTTGGAGCACTTCTTTCTTCAAATTTATTTGTTCTTTCTCCAAAGCCATAATCTACTCTAAGGAGCATGTAATCTATATTTTACTAATAACTTAAATCCCCTCTAGCACAAATATAATGGTAATGGTATTTAATGGTAGTAATGGTGCACTATCTAGCTGTCAACCTCATTAAGTAAACTCAAACACATAAGCTAATTCTACTGCTAATTCTATTGTAACAGATCTTTCAAATCTGAAAGTGGAATTCTCCTGCCATCATCTTTATAATCCAATCACCTGGGGAGCCTAAACCTCTTGCTCCGCTTTCTCTCCTCCCACTATGCAGCTGTTCTCTCTTAACTGAGGTTTCCCTAAGCAGCATCTCTCAAGTTCATTCCCCACATGCTATTATACTGGATGACTTTGGACTGAGGAAAAAAAGCAGGTTTGAGTTGGGTTTGGGCCTGATTAATAAGCAGGTTTAGACCCAATTAATATTTGAATGGAAGATCTACAGGACAGAAAATTATATGAATGTATCCAGGAAATCACCACAAGATAAATTTGACTGGGGAGAGGTTTTACTTTCAATAGCTGCTTATGTAAACATCAGTAAAATAAAAGAAAGGGGTAAGGTCAGGTTTTATATTGGAGAAATACATCCTGGTTATTACATAAAGCTACTGTTTTGGAAAAGATCCCTTTCCATTGTCCATCAAAGCAAAATGTTTGAGAGTAGAAAGAGCAATTTTTGCCAGAGTTGTAAAACTTAGTGGACATATTGAATATTCTTCCCAGAATGCTATGAACCCTACAAAGAATATAAGAAAAACTTAACACAGATTGAGCAGAAAGTGAAGGGACTTGCACAAATAGTTGCTAGTTCTTCAAAAAAGCAGCATTTCTCCAGAGTTCTTTTATCTTCCCTATTGTATGAACGGCTCTAGCTGCCTATTTAATCCTCAGCTTCTCCTCTTCCTTCTACACATTCAGGAAATGGATTTTATTAGCCTTTATCTCCATTTTTCTACATTGGTCTTTTGTCAGGTACAAGTCAAATGCTATTACAACAACAAGCAAACTTCCTTGTTGAAGTGAAAAAAATAAAGGATCATTTTAAATTACGGGTGACTTGTTTCTTGGTCTTGATTTTCAGGGCAGTTGAAGTTACCATGCAGTAAAATCCTTTTTCTAATGCATCTTAAAGAAGGGACAAAGGAGCATGTGAAAATATATCTAAGTATCATACATTCAAAATTCATAATAGACCACTTTGTTTGTGAAAGGAAATTGGCATTATCTCTCCTAATGACATTTGGCTTCAAGATAGAAATGTGCAGGAAAACACACCCCAACGCTTCCTGTCAAAGCATTCATTTGTATAAATATGACCTTTCGAATTTCAAGATCTCTCTCCAAAAAAAGCAAGACATTCCCAAACCACCCATATCCCCCCCGCAAACATGCTATCAATTACAAAAAGTTGGTGTTCCAAATATATTTTAGCAGATTTTTGTATTGTGAACGCACACATTTAGAACCTCTTATCACTCATGATTTTTTTTCATAAATTTTATAAGTCTTTCATCATGATCATTGTTATCATCATCATGATCATCTATTTATGGTCAGAGAACATAGAAACGAACAATGATATGTTAAATTGAAAATTAACTATTCTGCCAGTATGAGAGCTTTTCCATATGAAGACACAAATATTGTATATGGTAAAATGTTTTTTTTAATGTGTTTATGCCTCTCTGATCAAAGAAACTCTTGTACCTTTCTTACATTAAAAAGTATGAGTTAAAACAGTACAAAACTATGCAAGGTAAGATAAAAATGATGAGTAGGATATCAAATCGGGGGAAAGCACTCCAGCACTGCTTAGACTTCAAGCTGTGGGTAGTGAAGGGTGAATGTGAGTTTGTTGTAGCAGAATTATAGGAATATGTTAAGCCTATCCTTTTATACATTCAGATATGTGGTTTCTTCTTCCCTTCAGTCCATGATTTATCTAAACCCAGCTTAAATATGGACTGCAGACCAGAGAAACTTGTTGTAAACCAAGTTGCTTTGTTTTGTTTTTGTTTATCTCAGCTGCCAATTATATATGCATTGTTTCTATTGTTATATATTGTTTTTTCAGTGCTTTTAACTGCTGTTAGCCATCCAGAGTTATGAATTTGAGATGGATGGCTAAATAAATTAAAATAATGAATAAATTGAATATTGTTTGTTTTTCCCCTAGGAAGTTATCTCTATCAGTAAAAGTTGGGCTAAAGAATTATCTCCTAAATTATGGACCATACAGCAAAAGACTTCATTCTTTAGTTCTCAAAAGTTTTATTGTTGTAGATAGATAGATACTTCCCTTCCTGTTTATGTATTAAGCTATTGTGTTCCATGTTTTTCATTCATGCAGCATATATTCGGGAAATTGGTCTTTACAGGAGGTAGTTGACTAAAAATAAATGTCTAGATATTGAAAGTCTTGTTGCTGCAAATCAATAAAATCTTATGCAATTATCAGTGACCT